GAATGTGAGGCCAGCGTATGTGATGAGAGGTTTTGAGAAGAGAGGGTGGTGGTGCATGGGAAGGTGTGTGTGTGTGTGTGAGAGAGAGAGAGAGAGAGAGAGAGAGAGAGAGAGAGTGTGTGTGTGTGTGTGTGTGTGTGCGTGCGTGTGTGTGTGAGAGAGAGTGCGTGCGTGCGTGCGTGCGTGCGTGCGTGTGTGTGTGTGGAGATGCCTCTATATCTTAGGTTATGTCCCTACTGTAATAACGTGGAGTCAGAGATACTCTTCCTTTTAGAATGTAGTTTTTTATTCAGGCTTTCGTTTTAAATTGCTAGATTCCCACACATGCAGTTTTCTTAATATTCTTAATAATTCATTTACTTCTGTTGATATTACAAAATTAAAATATATAGCTTTAGCTGTAAAGAAATATGTTTTTAAGACGTGAGTCTTGTATTTAAGTGCTCTTATACATTTTATCTTCTTACTCTTTTAACTATTTCTCTTTTATATCATTTATCTACTGTGTCGTATGCTGTATATATATATATATATATCTTAGTACATATGTACTCGTATATCATGTTTATGTTCATGTACATGTACATGTTTAACGTGTAACACTTAAATAAATAAAATACTTCTGTCTGTCTGAAGGAGATTGGGTTTCTAAAACAAAAAAACTCTCAGTGCATGTTCCTAGGCTATGTAACTCACTTTGGTCAACGAACAAATAATGTTTTTATTTCCTAAGGAAATGTTTATTTATTATTTATTTCTTGGAAGACATCATTCGGATGGGAAAGCGTAGTATACACATCCGTGTTGGATAGTAAATGTGTTTGTCTGTCGTAATGTTTTGGGTAGTCGGGCTAGCTGTCATGAACGAGGTAGAGGTGGTGGAGTAGCCTAGTGGTTAAAGCGATCGCTCGTCACGACGAAGACTTGGGTTCGATTCCCCACATGGGTACAATGTGTGAAGCCAATTTCTGTGTACCCTGCCGTGATATTGCTGGAATATTGCTAAAAGCAAAACCATACTCACGAACGAACGGGGTACTAAAGCTTGATTCCTAATACCTCTTCTCTCTCTGAATTTTTAACTGGTGATTCAATTTTAATTGTGTGTATTTTCTACTTTGTCTATTATTAAAAAGCTTGTCGATCGTAGTAGATGTGATTGACACATATATTACCATCAATCAAGTTTTCTTCGTAATTCAGATCACACTGCCTACAGTACAGTTGTAAGATAAAGTATATTTAGTAGTGGTGATCCGATTAATTGAAATAATCGAAGATTGGTCGCAGTGACTAAACGACCAAGCAATCGATATGTTTTCTCATAATCGAACACAAACAATTCATGAACACTTGTTTTCATCAACAATATTTTTAACAAGGTTAGTTTTGTCTGTTACATTTCATAAGCACTACAAGCGTTCCAAGTCATGATTGAATTTATCTTAAAGACACCAATAAATTTATGTTCCTAACATACTAGTCATCCTTTAAAGATGTGAAATTTTGCACACTAAAACCCCAAAATAACTACATGGTTTTTTTTCCTTATTTTTTGTGCATTAACAAATTTCATAAATGACGCTAACCAATTATTTTCGATGGTTGATCGGTGGTAATGAACCAATCATCAATTATGACATTTTAACCAATTCCCATCACTAATATTTAGGTCACATATCCAGAGTGTTACATCTCTGTCGATCTCATTTTGAATAACTTGCATAAACATAAAGCATTTATGGGTAGCACATTCATATTACAGGAGTTAAATATATTTTCGAGCATAATTCTAACATAATAATATTTATGTAACGAGGTAAGAAAAGTACTTCTCAAGTGTGTATATTTCTTATATATACATGTAAATATTTTAACTATATATAATTAGTGTTACCATTTAAAACAACCATTTACTGTTTACCTGTGTACAAATGAATTTTTCTTTTGAAGTTATTCATGAGGTGTATTTCATCTGCAATTTCTCCTAATCTTATGTATTATTATGTTTTACAAATGAAACTGAAATGCCTAGAGTGAGGTTGGGAGGTCCTGGCACAGTCAGGTAGGTAAGGCTCGTCATCAGCTCAGGTATCCTTGGCCCCTCTACATGCAGGAGACAGCAAGAAGTCCCTGGACACGTTGCCGAACCACCAAGTACTTTCCCGATAATATGTAAACTCGTCAACAAGATCCATATCACTTACCTGGCGACTTACCTATAAACACTTCTATCAAGATGTTCGACACCATGGTACTTCCTATACTATCATACGGAGCCGAAATCAACCATATGATAGATGATTGAGAAAGTACAAACTACCATGTCTAAGAAGTATTTTAGTAACGAGGCTGTTATAGAAGAAACAGACCGCCATCGGATTCATATTGATCTCGTCTTTAAATGTGTTAAATACTGTAACAAGCATCTTTCAATGGACCTCCACCCCTCACCTAAACAAACCTACCTTATGCTCTATGGACTGGACAGAGCTGGACGTACGTCTTGGGTAACTTACATCAAAAACATTCTCTTTAAATAAGGGCTTTAGATATACATGGGTAATTGATTATGTGGGAAACGCAGGACTATTCCTTACAGATTTTAAATAGCGTATCAAGGATTGTGGATCTAAGCAGTGGCATGATGAAATTGTTCAGAAACCGAAATCAAGAACTTGTTCTGTTTTCAAAACGACTTTAAAAACGATGGAACCATATTTCAGCTGCATAAATGCGACACCCATTTTACAAACTCCAGATTTCGCTGCCGATGTCTTGAGCTTAGGATAGAAATAGGAAGACGTCACAATGAGGACGAAGAACAACGAATATGTTTCTACTGTATCAAATCTAGATTAATGCATATTGAAAATGAAAATCACTTTGTGATGGTTTGTAATGCATATCTACATTTAATTCTAAGATGCCTAGCGGTTAGAACAATCGAAAAAAAAAACATTATCAGACAATAAAGGTATAGTTTTTTGATGACGTAACAATTGAATGACGTTATCCCGTCACTACGCCATTCTAGTGTGCCCCCTCGTAATCGAACCATTTTACATTACGTCACAATGTAAGCGACGTCACGATGCATGTCAGTTGTCATCGCCTCGTACGGCCTCCTACAGTAAACTACTCCGTTGCATCCCGTTTCTTGGTTTGCAGCTGCTTCACGCAGCTAACATCACTGGTGGAAACATTGCGTTTATGTTTTACGACGGTTAAAATGTCTCAATTCGACTCACAAGTTTTCAGCGACACGGTAACGTTCGCAATGTTTACATTCCCACAATGCAATCGTGGAATGTCGCTTGACTACTCGGCTTCATCGGGATGTACTGATCTAAACTTACGTTGGTAGTAGAAATGCGACGTTCATATTGCCCCATATGGTTTACGTTAATGACAGATGTAATTATGATTATTCAGAGAAGATATTTAATCCGAACGTAAACCGTCATCAAACTGTTATCATTTTTTTTTTCTGGTAACGTTCATCTTAACGTAGGGGGGCAGACACATCAATAGAACAGCGCGCCAGTTAGCCCTGTGCGAGGATTCTTAATTTAGGTCAGCGACACCGTCGTTTGTTTTCTGCCTTAAATTAATCGTAATTATCCTTAGAAAGTATTAAATTTAGCATCTTAGAAAAGATGTAAAGTTCGCTCTACCCTAATGTGTTTTGTAATAAAGTATAGTTTTGCCCTGAACTATTATAACATCAAAGCACTCGGACTACCGTCCTCGTGCTTTAATTATAATAGTTCAGGGCAAAACTATACTTTATTACAAAACACAATGGGGTAGAGCAAACTTTATTTCCTAATTATTTAGATAGTAACTGTTATTATTATAAAAATCCAACATTTGTAAAATGTATAAATCTTATGTCTTCACAATGTAAAACTACACTTCTTGAACTGTCAATGTTTGTATTTTTCGCTTTAAAGTATAGAATGCCACCTAAATCTGTTTGATATGATATTATTATGTATGTGTATGTACACATTTATAATGTATTGTTCATTGGGCCTGTGGCCTTTAAACATCATGAATAAAAACACTTTCACGCTGCAGCCTTCTGCAATACCCAGAGTGTCAGAAGGGCTGTGCTCCCGGTGGACAGTGGAGAACCCGGGCTCACACCTGATCTGCATCCAGGAGGTACCAAACCAAAGAGACTGAAAGCAAAGGGGAGCCTGACGACAGTATGCCTGAGAATCGAGCGAGGCATTTCAAAAGCGAGGTCCGCATATTTATAATGCTTTTACCGAATTTCGCCAATCAAATTATTATCAAAAGGGACTGAAACTTCAATGATGTAAACATGTTATTGGCTTTATCAAAAAGGACAAGAATAGGTTTGCTGCTATGATTTTTGTCTTGCCTGAAAGTGGGCATACTCCAAAGAAGTGAAAAAGCCTTATTTTCCATGACGCCCTGGACATGTCCAGGGTCGTACCATGGGTGGACCTCGGGATCAAAGTTACATGCACAGCGCAGGAAACAACGAGTCAGATGGTACAGTATAATTTTTTACATATAAACCGCAGATGCCTCCTAAGATATTCAATGACTTCACACGCGTCATTAATTATATCCTAAGCAACAATGTTGTAAAATGACGCCTAAGCTCGATCTATACGGGAAAAACACTGGATCCGTGGTGAATCAACGAAAGTATACATAGCTTTTCTCATCAAGAATTTTGCCAACGTTGATGCCTTCGATCATTGCACCAGAGACCATTATAATCTGTCATAATCTTTGATAATGACAGCCGCGTTTTACAAATTCAATGTCATATCATCATGTAATGTTCAGTTTTATTTGAAACACATATTGAAAATATACTATAAAAACTGTTTCAAATTCCACCAAAATATGTATTTCTGTGCGTATATTTTGGTTAATAACTCGCATTCTTAATTCGTCCTGTAGTTGAGAGAGATATTTATAGGTTGGTAGGTAGAGTTATCTCCCCTGAAAACAATCCGGAAATACGTCAAGACTCCAGGCGCAAAATAGAACCTGATTCAAAATTGTGAAATTATCAGCTGTGTACAAGGTATGTATTGAAACATGCACGCAGTTGATTATATCTGTTACTGTTCTGAAACTAACGTTTTCATCTGTCTGACATACCTCTTTGTTAAGCCGACTGCTATATTTTCAGTTAGGAAAGCCTATATTGACAGTCAAAACAACTTTTTTTACTCCTTTTAAATTAATTAGGAGAACAAAGTCGTCATTGCAAGTTCTTGAAGTCACGAGTAGGTACCATGGAAGTGTCTTTAAGTGTAAATGATGCATCCGATTTTATTTGAAAAATTAGTTTGGGAATGGAGACAAACGAATGAAGAAGACTTGTAATATTTGTCAATTAAATTCTAAAAAAGGAGTAATATTGAAACATAGTTCATGAGTGGTTATGTTAAGTTTCTTAAAGCAATAATACCAGTAGGCTATGCATACATAATATCAATATATTACTATTATGTTATAAATGAGTCTCACATTTACACCCATGGAGATCCAGGTTAGAATTGATCTTCGATCACTGCTTGTCGTAAAAGGCGACTAACGGGACCAGGTGGTTAGGCTTGCTGACTTAGTTGACACATGTCACTGTATTCCAGTTGTGTAGATCGATGCTCATGCTGTTGATCACTGGGTTGTCTGGTCCAAAATTTTATTTACAGACTGCTGTCACAGCTGGAATATATTGCTGAGTGCAATGTAAAACTAAACTCACTCACTCACTCACATTTACACAGCCTCTGATCCTTACAACTGGGATTTATCTATTCCAGCTCAAAGGCCAATGTTTGTAGTGAAAAGGACCCAAATATTCCGATTGGCAATAGCCCTAACACCATTGAGCCTCATCTCTCTTTACAGTCCACTTTGGTTGACAATTCAGTGTGAACAATAGAAGAAACAAAAAGCACAATAGTTTTTTCTAAAAATGGTATTTAATCATTTTTGTACAGGTAGCAAGATTGAGTTACTCCAGCTGTCAACACAATGCACAGCAAGTCATCAACTTGCACTGGGATTGAACACAAAGTTCAGCAGAGGTCACCGGAATGGTTTTCACTGCGGAGAAACACACTGATCACTGCATCGCAATTCGGAGATGCCATCGGAGTAGGAAGAGGAAAACCGTTTGACTTCTTCCTGTCGCTCATTTCAGAAGATTCAATATTTGAACAGGATGGCAATATGATGTCCAATTTACAACATGGAATAGACACTGAAATTATAATAAAAGAAGCTTATGAAATGTTGACAGGGAACCTTGTACGAGACTCTGGATTCTGGGTTCCAAACAAAGACAGCCCTTTGAAAACGCTCATTGGTGCTTCCCCAGATGGTTTAGTTGTTGATAGAGATTGTCCAGAGAATATTATTGGACTTACTGAGTTCAAAGCCCCTGTGCATAAGATGTACTCTGGCAATGACTTAGACATGGGTATCCCCAGGCAATACATGGCCCAGATTCAAGGTCAGATGGCAGTGGTTGGTGCTCCCTGGTGTGACTTTTTAGCCGTGTGTACCAAAACAAGGGAGATAATCCTGAAAAGAGTTCACTTTCAACCCGTGTACTGGTTCCATGTGTCGGATGTCATAAGGCAGTTCTGTCACACATTGCAGGTACTAGTATTGTTATGCGTGGTTATATAGTTAGTTGTGTGACATATTGTTCAATGACAAAAATTCACTGTGACTTCATGGTGACAGTGCAAGTTGCTGATGCGCACTTTTATGTCTGACAATCCACACATTTCTTTCTGACTTTTATGTCTTCATGTAAAGCTACTACAGTTCCCTAGCAGACATATTGTACCCAGCTCTTGAGACCTACAGTGGGTTCCCGAATAGGGTCAAGTTATGTAAAGCTTGTACAGTTCCCAGGCAGACATTTTGCACCCAACTCTTGAGACATACAGTGGGTTCCTGAGTAGAGTCAGGTTGGGTCATCGGGTATCTGGTAAATGCGTAGGAAATCTGGACTTGTCTCAGCCTTAGGAAGTCTCTGTTAACAGGCTGTTGAACGAAATGATGATCTGTAAAGATGGTCTTGTACTTCCTTGAAACATTGCTGCCTTTTCATTTCATCGCATTTGCTGAACTCCTGGGTTTTTTTTCTTTTTTTTAAAATAATGTTTGATTTGTTTTGTTGCATTTTCATATAGCTGTGAACATAAATTCAACAAAAGTATACAGAAGGGTACAACAAATGACAACATTATGTAGTAAAAAGTTATGGCACAATGACCAAAATGTGTAAAAGTGATCAATTTTGCAGCTTAGAATAGCTGATGTTTAGTTAGACGATAATAATTGTTGAGTTCCTGTTGGAAAATCTTGAAAGTTGCTATGCGTTTGGTAGATATTTATTTTAACAGTATATATTTGAAAAGAATTAAGATGATCTTAATTGGATCATTACTTCTGTTACAAAATCTGAGAAGTATATGTTGTCTAGAAACGATGAGTCTTGTATCTATTTTGTATCTATAACTTTGTTACATATTTTGTTACCTTGGTATTTGTTGAAATCTTGATCTTCTCAGGAATCCCAAGTACGGGAGATGTTTGGACAGGATCCCACAGAATCCCTGTCTGCTAAGAAGCTAAGGACACTACCAATGCACAGATCCAAGTTTCCAGGGGAGGACAGTATAACTGTGGAGGACCTTCTGGAACAGAAAGATGGGATGTTCCGTGGTCCTTCCATGGTGTTCATGTCATTTGACCTACTTATGGGTTACCCTTGTAACCAAGGTAACACAAGCCTGAATATGGACCAGGTGTTGGAGAGGATTGATAGCCAGATACATTCTACTCAACAAAGTCAAGTTGTGTGATCCAGTATGTCTAAGATGTTATTTAGTTTTATCAGATTTTAAGTAATAAATGCTACCATTTTATGCAGTTAACCTGTAACATATTTTATGCAGTTAACCTGTAACATATTTTATGCAGTTAACCTGTAACATACTTTATGCAGTGAACCTACTTTATGCAGTTAACCTGTAACATATTTTATGCAGTTAACCTGTAACATACTTTATGCAGTTAACCTGTAACATACTTTATGCAGTTAACCTGTAACATATTTTATGCAGTTAACCTGTAACATACTTTATTACCCACGTGGTCAACGTATGGGTAGTTGCATACTAATCTCGTACGTCACACGAGTGTCGTATCGTGTTGACCTGTGTCGTAACGACTTGACCTGAGATTCAAACGATTTGATTGGATAACCGATGACCTCTCACTTAGGTCACGTTGTGACGGAACTACTTGTTCATTCATAACAAACACATGAATTCATTCATTCTACAACTTAGATGCATTGAGGGAATGTAAACATTGCGAACGTTGCAGTGTCGCTGTTTAATTGTGAGTCAAACTGAGACATTATATCCGTGGAAAAACATAAATGCAATGTTTCCACCAGTGATGTTAGCCGAGTGAAGCAGTTGCAAACCAAGAAACAGGGTGCTACGGAGTAGTTTACTGAAGGAGGCTGTACGAGAGGCGATGACAACTGACATGCATCGTGACGTCGGTTACCAAGGGGACAGACGTAGTGACGTCATTACAGTGTGACGTCATGCAAAAGTGTACTTCAGAACAAAATTCTTCCGCAACCTCTTTATGAAACCGGTTTCGGTTTGAAACCATAACAATAACAAAAATACGCTATTTTGTCAGTTTCATGCCTGTAAGACGTGGGTAATAAATAAAATACCACACTCGGTCTCATTACATACGAATTATACGAAACTCGTGACCTTCCTATGGTTTCTGACCACGCTTTTGCTCAGTCAGATACCATAGGATGGACACTCATTTCATACAATTCGTATGTAATGATACCTTGTGTAGTATTCTCTATTTATGCAGTTAACCTGTAACATATTTTATGCAGTTAACCTGTAACATACTCTATGCAGTTAACCTGTAACATATTTTATGCAGTTAACCTGTAACATATTTTATGCAGTTAACCTGTAACATACTCTATGCAGTTAACCTGTAACATACTTTATGCAGTTAACCTGTAACATATTTTACGGTTGTTATTTTAATTTTTTCAATAAACTATTAATTCATGTCTGATGCCATTGTTTTTTTTCTTGAGGGATATTAAATATATACTCTATTTCCAGTTAACATTATTTGGATTGGGTTTGCTTCGTAAATTGTACTATCATAACTTGCCATTACTTCAGTTAGAATTGGTCTTAAGCTACCCATGCTTGTCGTAATAGGGGACTAACTGGATCAGGTGGTCAGGCTTGCCGACTTGATCCCAAATTTGTAGATCAATGCTCATAATGTTGATCACTGGATTGTCTGGTCCCGATTCTATTACTTACAGACCCCCGCCATATAGCTGGAATATTGCAAGTGGATTGAAAGCCAAAGCCTGAAATTGTGATTTGTAAGATTTAGTATAACTGTATAGCGGACATTGTTTTATGCCAGTGGGTCCTGGCCTTCAGTAAACCACTCTTGTCGCATCTAATAGGATCAGGTGGACAGGCTCCCTGACCAGATCACGTTTATGGTGCTCACAATGGAAGGATCCAAACAGGGTGAATGTCGGATTGAAACAGGAGAGGTGAAATGGGGTTTAATATCATGGTCAGGATTGTTGTAATCATGTGGCAGCCTGTACTTGGACTACTGTTTGACCATAGTAGCCCACTGTAATGCTACAATATGCATACCACTATAACCCAGGTGATTGACTCCCAGCCTCCCAGTCCATGTTGTATGTAGATGTTGATCAAGGAACACTGTTAGACTGTTGCTCCATAGACGACCCGTGAAGATCCGGGTTAGAATTGATAGAGGTGACTAACGGGATTGGGTGGTCAGGCTCGCAGACTTGGTTGACACGTCATCGGTTCCCAATTGTGCAGATTGATGCTGTTGATCACTGGATTGTCTTGTTCAGACTTGATTATTTACAGACCGCCATATAGGTGGATTATTCCTGAGTGTGGCGTAAAACTAAACTCACTCACTCACTCACTCCATAGACATCCAGGCATCCTGTGTCCACTGAAACGTCACCATCCCACATGATGTGGCTGACTGGAGGCCACACGTTCCAGTGTTTTCTACACTTGTACAGTCAGCAGATTTATCATCCAAAACTGTGTTCCACAGTAGATATCGCTTGTGTGAGATCAGACGATATCTCCTAGGAGATATCGTTTTGACAGTAGATTTTGTACAATGCCCTGACAATGCTATGACGTCATGAACTTGTTGACGTCACAATGTTATGACATCGCTGCACTGCAAATCTAATGGCAGTACTGTGTTCAGAGATGTACATTTTTCATTGAAAACTAATGAAGAGTGATTTTTGATGATAAATAGAATCTCACCCTCGTGTCTTTTGATATCAAATATATCAACACTCGTTGATAAAAGTAAAAATATCCTCGGCAAGCCTCGGATATTTGTTACTTTATCAACTCGTGGCGATATATTTGATATCAAAAGACACTCGGGTGAGATTCTCTATTTATCACCTGATCATGGAACACAACTATGTACAGGGACTGTTGCTCCACAGACATCCAGGCGACCTGTGTCCACAGAAACATCACCAACCCACATATGGCTGTAGGGAGCACCTGGTAGTGTTCTTCACAGTTGTGTAAACATAGAAAACTCTATCATGTCTGTCCTGAAACAACATGGCCAAATGTAGAGATAGCATCAGGTAATGTGAAACACTGGACCTTATCACCCACACTGCATATCCTGACCATGTTGTACACCAGTTTTTGTCACCGTCCGTTAGACCATGTGGTTAATAATACTCATGCAGTAGGTATACATACACTGTTTCAACAGTGGTGTAAACCTTGTTTGTTTTCAGTAACCTGATACATTCTGTGTCTAGTTCCATATCAACAAGAATTTCTGGAGGGTAGGAGGCTCTCACTAATTACTGGATGACACCTTTACTGCTGCCGAGAGATCCTAAAAGATAGACTTTTCTAGCGTTTGGCCTATGATTTGACTAAAACATTTTCTAGCATTTGACTAAATGGTTATTTGAATTCTTCACTTGCTTCTTTGCTTAATACACCATATAGCTGGAATATTGCTGAGGGCGGTGTATGTAATAATAATAATAATAATAATGTAAGTATCCCTCACTCAATCTTTGCATAATATATGACTCTGCGACAGTCCAGAGAAATAAAGTGTTCTTGTAGCAGATTTCATGCAATTAATTGGTGGTATCTTAAACATCTATGAAGATGATGTCAGTGTCATATGTAAATATTTGGAAGATTAACCATAAAGCTATAAAGAAAGGATGTAATTGATTGTTCCATTAGAAGTTCTCGCCGACAATGTGTTGTTAGAAATAGTGTTAGTGGAAAATGTTAAATGCCTCGTCACAGAAAGACATCTTGTGAAATGTACTTTGAATGTTACATGTCAACCTACTGAGTGAGTTCTGTGTTAAGATTGTGAACTATGACGTCCATAGGGAGGGTCTAAGGAACTGATTGTAAGTGAGCGAGTATGGTTTCCAGAGCAACATCGCAATATTCCAGCAATATCACAGCGGGGGACACCAGAAATGGGCTTCACACATTGTACCCATGTGGGGAATCGAACCCGGTTCTTCGGTTCTACGCTTTAACCACTAGGCTACCCCACCGCTCCAGTACTGATCGTACAGAACAACAGACAAAATACACTGGACACACGAAGGCTTATCAACAGTTTCAGACAAGCAATCAAGACAAACATCATCTTGGAGTTTGAGATTTTTTTAATCATACAAAACATACGAAAATATACACCCGAAAAATCTCAAAATGTCATTAAAATATTCAGAGAACAGTTTATGACCAACATAAAAATTGCATCTGCAGCATTTATGTTTCTTATTCACATATTATTTGTGTCTTAGAGTTTGTTTCCTGCATGACTTAGAATCAGTCTCAGCAATTAGTAATTAAAGCAACTCTTCCCCCAAAATACAAAGTTATAAAATTCTCTGGTCAGCATAGATGAGTGAGCAGATTTTATTGGGCTGCATTCATATCACAACAGATAGGATTTCCATGACAACATGTCATATTTGGGATTGCACTTTCTCAGTAAAGTACACATTCTACTACCTTTTGTACCGTACCATGGTAAGAGCATACCGTTTCACCCCTAATCCTGTTTCTTTAAAAAAACAGCCAACATTGATAGTTAAAAGCAAACTGGTGGTCACGATAGCATTTTGCATACATACTCCCATACACACACAAGTAGGAGGAACTTTAAGAGCACACTAGCGGTGAAGTAGTATACCACGGTATTAGTACTAGTAGAACTCCGTTTTTTTCCCTTTGGTTCGGTATACCATAATGCCTTCGGTTTTCATACTGTCATTTTTATTTTACCTTTTAAAACCTTTTCTAAAATGTCTAGAAATCGAATCATTTAGTCAAAATCTATGCATCTTTGCTAGACGGCTCTTGTTGTCAATTTTCTGCATTATGATCATATCTCATATACCGAACCAAACCGAAGGCCTTGTACCACAATACATATCGTACCGCGGTAAGAGCGTACCGTTTCACCCCAAGAGCACACCATTCTTTACAAATGACTATAGTTCATCTGTCAGGTGATGGTGCATCTTCTCACAGTCCTCCAACTGAGTGATGTTTAACTTGTTCTGACGTGTAAATCTCATTGAAAATGGTTTTATGTACAAATTACTTTTTTCAAAACAACAGCTAAATACAATATAGTAATATTAGTATCATACAATATAAACGAATGAAATTCTCCCTGATGTAAAGACAATGACTGACAACGTCCTATCAGCTGTTTACCCCAGTGCATAAGTCAACACTTAAATAGGCCTTCCATGGCAACACCCACAATGTGATTATGCTGACAGATTAATTATTCTCCATTTGTCACACTTCAGCAAAGGAGAGATCAGAGAGGGTGTTCAAGCAACATCATACATTGGTCACAACAGACTTGACCAGACATACAAACAACCCATAGACTGCTCTGTTGCTACAACAAGCTACAACACAAACTACCCACCAGGGGAGGGAGCCCCATACAACAAAACAACCTTAGTGATACAACCCTTGCAAGTCTGCATTAAGGTATGGGAGCTGGGAATCACATTTGCGCTAAAATTCCTTTGTGAAATGGCACCCAGAGTGAGTGAGTTTAAGTCTTATGCCGCTTTTAGCAATAGTCCAGCAATATCATGGCAAGGGACACCAGATATGGGCTTCACACACTGTACCCCTGTAGGGAATCGAACCCGGCTCTTCAGTGTGACGAGCTAACGCTTTAACCATTAGGATACCCAACCACTCCAATGGCACCTTCAGAACCACTGGATCCTCCATAAAATGGCATCTAATGACAAGCATGAGATACAGGGCCAACTTACACAAAGTGATCTTAGCGCTATGACCATCTTAAGTCCACATCCAAAATGGGAGTTGGAATCACTGTAGTTCTAAGATCGCTTTGTTCAAGGGGCCTCTAGGGACCATTTCTGCCCCAGAATTTCCATGTCATGTTATTTTTCAAATGATGAAATGTTCAATGACACTGCTTCTGGAGAAGCCAACAGACAACCACTCATTGTACGCCATCCAACCAGCCTCATTAAGCAGCCTTAATGTTGCACACTATCAAACAATCCATGCAATAATCATCATCAACTTCAGTTATAGACAAAAAGCTTACAACTCACAAGAATGAACAAAATATTACCCTTATAGTGCAAATAATAAATTGAAAAACTGAAATTAATTAGGAGATAAACATACTGTGTTGGAAAATCAGAGGTATATAACAAAATTATAATAGTTCTAAAATTTATTTAAAACCAAATGCGTAGCGTGAGGTTTTAAATAAAAAAATTAGAGCTATTATATTTTTGTTATATACCTCTGATTCTCCAACACAGTACGTTTATCTCCATTTTACCATTAGTAAGATTTAAAAAAATACATACTAGTACTGTGTTGGAAAATCAGAGGTATATAACATGATTATGTACCTCTGAATGACTGTGATTTACCGATCACAATCCAGTATTTACTGAAGTCATGGTAGAACATGTAATATTTCACTGTTAACATGGTTACAATAACCAGGAAACCAGGACCCCCAAATAAAAACTGACACAAATTTTGCAAGTCAAGCAATCCTTCACCGTGACCTTTTCACATTCAGCCAGAGAAAGTTACGATACATACAGGCAAGTTGGTGTGCAATATACCTCAGTAACCCAACAGATGTGGACATGCATAAACTTCACATGAATAATAACCTCCGATCTCACTGTTCTGGGATTGGAACTATCATGAATTGACAGAACATATCTTCTTTTTCCCAGCCCTGGGATGAATAATGCAGAAAAACATATAAAACCATCACAAAATATTACAGTTGTCACCTTAATTAGTAGTTTCAAGGAGGCCAGTGTTCCATGTCTCGTGGAACAAGCTGACAACACTAACCTTTGTGTTATCATGTTCCAGCAGAAATACTGATGCATTTCTTAATGAAAAGATTAAGGTAGAAAACATTGTCACTAACCATTGAAAAACTTGACTGATCTCCATTTTGTTAGTCCAGAATTAATGGAACAGTTCTGACATGCTTTCTCTTTTGTCTCACTGGTAGTGGATAATCAAGAACATTATCTCTATGTACTGAACTAACACGAGACCACAGGCATTATCACAAATAATTTGTGCCTGCCTATCAAGTTATTACCCAATTGCTCACATTTGGACATTTATGCTTTAGACATGTCTTTCCTGCAAAACTCAAACTTTTCACAACAGATTTACCATGTTTGCTTTCCATTGTATTGCATTAATTTGCCTATGACTATGAGAATGAACAAATGCTCAATGATTGAAATTGTGTGTGTCACTAGCATAGGATACCAAACTAGGGCTGGCTAAAAAGATCGATAATCAGAAAAATCATCGATGGGATTCATCATTAATGATTATCGATATGAAAATTGTGTAATCGATATCGTACATAAACTATTGTGATGAAATAATGAAAACATTTAGTTCTTTATTCATGATCTGCTCTTAAAGTATGTTCAGGATGGTGTTTTGCTCATAACCCAAGACTCAATATGTCACCACTTAGTCATTTTTGGTCAAAGTTACTTCTCCGATATTTATCGATAATCAACTGATGCTCATTTAACGATAATCGATCTCTATGATCGATATCGATAGCCAGCCCTAAACCCAAACTTTTAGGTTGCAAAGTTGATGAGAAAGAAGATCCCGGGATAAATTAACTGAAACGCAATTAAACCAAATGACCTGTCATGCACAGACATTGTCACAATCTGTGAACTGAGAGCCAGAGTTAGAGTGAGTGAGTGAGTGAGTGAATGATTGAGTTGAGTTTTATGCCGCTTTTAGCAATATTTCAACAATATCATGGCGGGTACACCAGAAATGGGCTTCACACATTGTACCCATGTGGGGTCGAACCCGGGTCTTCAGTGTGACAAGTGAACACTTTAACCATTAGGCCACCCCACAGTTAGAGCTGATTACTGGTTGGGCTATATACATGGTATAACTGGGCCTGGTAAACTCAGGTCCTGCCTAGTAGTATCCCTCACAAAATATATCAAGAGGCTGCACATAGCATGCAGTGGGACTGTGCAGTATTACTGATATACTGCAAAATGCTTTTCTAATAATAAGTATAACAATATATTTCTGAGAACTGGTATATTTGGTAAATTTGTTTTGCACGTTTGTGACTCTCTCTATGGCTTAAGTTAAAAAACTACACATACCTTTATATACAACTGATGTTTCCATTCATAATTCATTGACAAAACACCATACCTTACATGCAATAAATTGTATAAAAAGGAAATAGAATCCCAAACCATCCGACTTATTTCTAGATTGAAGTTATCAGGGTGCCGTTCCACTAACCGATCTTAGCCCTACGCCAATCGTAAACCCCTAAAATCCCAATCAAAGTGTGACGTTAAGATCGGCATACCATCCCACTAACCAATCTTATCCCAGTCCATCGTAAAGTTAAGATCCAAAGTCTAAGTTGCACATGACCAACTTAGGATCGCTAAAATCAATCGTAGAGAAACCAGGATGGTGGCTTTCATATTCTATGTGAAGAAGAAAAGTGACCATTTCACCGTGAGCGTCCCCTAAAACCCCCCATGAAATGAATTTGTTTATTTCTGTGATGGAAACAAACACAGCACTGAGCCTTACAAATGTGAGGCCAGTCTGACCACTGTCGTCATGGGAACACAGCCCAGGGAGTCCATGAAATACATTTGTACAACAATATTGCAACGTCATGGTTAAGAATAGGGACCCTTCATGAAGTGAACATTGTTCTGAAACAAAAAAATACAAATATGTTTGATTATGTGTGCTTATTTGGTGGGGGATTCCAAAGGCATAGGCGGATCCAGAGGGGTGGGGGTTGTACAGGGTGCACATCCCCCCTTTTCTGCTGAAAGTTTGTTAAATGACCATTGAAACTCAGGTGAAAATGAAGTGTGCACCCCTCCTTTTCTCAATAGTGTGCATTCCCCCTTTCTCAGAAAGCTGTATCCGCCCCTGAAATGCAGGCCGCATGTTTTTCAAGACCACTTACAGATTCTAGATTCGAAAGAGTCTCGATCTAAGCTTAGGACTAGCTACGATCGGCCTAAGATCGGTTAGTGGAACAGGTGTAACGATTAGCCAAGACGACTGTAAAATTGGCGTAGCTTGCTAAGATTGATCTTAGTTAAGATCGGTTATTGGAACGGCACCCTGAACCATAACATTTATTTTTAATGCCTTAGTATGTAGACTACAGGATCTGTGCATACAATCTCAATGCCAAACACTTTAGCTCCCAATATAGACCGCAATATGTATTGCAATATGTGTACCTGAATTGCAGTTTATTGCAATACAATATATTTGCCAATACACCGCCCTACCAGGCAGTCTCATGATGTTAATGACTGAGAATCAATGCCAAGGTTTTGGGAAAACAGCATTCACACAATAATCCACACTGTGCTAAGAGTTATTCACTCGATTGTCTCCTCCTCGTCCACTGTGATGGTCAGCATATCCTCTTCTCCCTCCCCAACACTGACCACAGACTTGCTGCCGCCCTGATGGCTGCCTGTGTCAAGGTGGTCTCTCTCCCCGGAGGTGTCAGGAGTTATCTCCCCTTCTGACACACTGCCGTCATCACTATCTTTGTGGAAACCGTTACTATGGTCAGGGTCCATCTGCATACTGACACCATTGCCATGGTGATCGTGGTTATTGTTGGACGTCTCACCATTCATCCTTGCTAAAAGGTTTGTCTCCTGCATTTGCTTCTGTTGGCGTATCCGTCTCTTCCTCTCTTTCTTTTCAGCACTGAAATATGTAGAAAATGAAATATATAGGTCAAATTAGGTTGTTGTTTTTGTCAATTTGTTGTTTAACACCACACTTGGCAATATTCCAGCTATAAATAATTGTGTCTGAACCAGACAAACCTGTGACTGACATCATAAGCATTGATCCAAGTAATTGGGCGTGAGTGAGTTAATATTTAACGTCATGTCGGCAATATTTCAGCCTTACTGTGACTAGGACAAACTACACATTACACCTGAAAACGCAATTGGGATTTGATATGCATTAAACAAGTCAACGAATATGACTATCTGATCCCACTAGTCAGCCCTTACAGTACAATCATGGGTGTGCTGAGAACCAAATCTAACCCGGATATTTGCAGGTCTCTAAAGCAAAGGAGTTGATGAGAGTCAAGTAGCGCTGGAGCGACTGATTGAATAATCGGGTCAATCTATCAATCCTGCTTGCACCAGAGATTATTGATGGGCTATAGAGACTAATCAATATTCACAATAATCAAACAGCAAAGTAAACTTTAGAAAGTATGTTTCTTAGTTTTACGTTTGTTAAATCAAGACATGAACAACTGGTGCACTTTCTGCCTCGTAGATCTGTAATACTCGCCTGTGTGTCTCAACAGGAAGTATAGTTGATCATCTTATTCGTGGATGACTTAGTTGACACGTCATCATATCCTAACTGCGTAGATCAATGCTCATGTTGTAGATCACTGGATTGTCTGGTCCAGACTTGATTATTTACAGGCCGCCGCCATATAGCTGGAATATTGCTGAGTGTGGCATTAAACGACCGACCAACCAACCGACCAACTTGACCGTGGTGTTAATCGGTGCCTGTTCTGTTTGTACAAGCTACGATAGTGTCCAGTTATTGCCCACATGAGTTTTGTCTTGAGGTTACAATTACAATCGAGTATTTATTAATTACTGAGCTCTGATTATGGATTTGAATATTGTGAGTGATACCCAGCACTAGAGTCAAGTGCACCCCATGTATGAGATACATAAAACACAAGCTTCGGACCAGACAATCCTGTGACTGACATCATGAGCATCGGCCAATGCAACTGGGACATGATGACATCAAACAAGCCAGTGAACATGACTACCAAGTTCTGCTACTTGCCACTAATGACAAGCATGGGCTGCTGAAGACCAATTGTAACAGACCTAGCATTCTTTGCATGTAATGTATCGTCAACATTACACAACACCCATGCTTCAAACATTACATTTTCATTAAAACCAGGGTTTTGAACCTACTTTTCGTGTTTACTGTACTGTATTTTAATCTGTAAATCATTACATACACGATGAACCTCAAGATAAAGTCTAGATATCCTTAAGAACTATTCACTATGTGGACATGATGTAAACCAGGCCTGATCTCATGTATTTATTAATGAAATTGATGGCACTCCATGACAGATTTACTCACTTCTTTCTCCTTATATGTTCCATGTACATCTTGTCATTTTCCTCAAAGATGTAGTCTACGTCAGCCTTTGTAACGTCAGAGTCTGACTTGAGCAACTGCAGAAATACCCCACCGGCACTACGGCGCCGACTACCATCCTGCAACACAAACACGACACAATGCCCATTTTGTGAGACAAAGACAAATTTTTGTCGGAGTAAGTGAGTATGGTTTTATGCTGTATTAAAACCCTTTGCTGGTTCCACCGTCTCACAGTAGCCAATCAGATAAGCTGTTACAACCGAGCCTTGCCAGGGTCAACAAAGATGGTGACCGCAGCCGCGAAGGTTTGCTCGCTGTGCAACTCAGATTTACTGAAAAATACATGCGGTACAGACAACTTGACAGGTCTGAAACCTTCAAAAATATATGCAAGAACTCCTTCTACCTCTTTCAAAGTACCTCTGCAACAGTCTTGTTGCCAAGTTTAATTGGTTAAATAAAAGAATTAGAAGTTATCAGTCAGAGACGTAACGTGTACGGCGTACGCGAGACGGCCTATCGTCAAGTGTACGCGAGACGGGTGCGCTCCACGATACTAACTGAAGTGCTTGACCCCAATTAATTCAATCACCGTGGAACCAACTCGATTGGGTGCAAACACGGCACGGAGTGATTAAAGCGTCCCGTAAAATCACCAAGCGTGGTGTTTACTTGACAGTCGTGAATAAACAGGTTTCTCGGGAAGAAACACCACGCCCAGGGTCGGTTGTTTACATATGCAAATTACGTAAAAATAATTAATCGCATTTGAAAAAGTGAAAAATTTGAAAAAATTTATGATTATGATAGAAGCCTTGTTATTGGTACACTCAACTTCCCAGTGTAGACACCTGATTGGATAAAAAGCCAGCAAATGGAGGAAATAAAATTATCGGTCCGAGCCGTAGATGCATCCAGGGTACTAGTGGAGATTTATTGGAACGTATACCCTGGAGATTATCGAGGATGCTGGTGGTTTGTACGTAACCCCAATCTCTAAATGAGTTTAATCACCTTCACTAGCATGCCTCCACTGTCCTCCACATCTTCTGTCTGGCGGAGGAGCTGGATGCCCTTCTTCTGACCGAGTCGCTTCACAATCCGCGCTGGAAGATAACATAAGGCATTATAAGTAAACAATTATACAAGAACAATAGTTGGTTATTCAGGCACCAACGTCCCAACAGTATGATCGTAAACTCCTGTACTCAACCAGGCCATCCAAACCAGCGGTTGATGACATGAGGTGAGGTGAAATGGGGTTTAATGCTGCACTTAAGAATATTTCGCTCATATGACGACGTGCATGCGTGTGTATATGTAGCTGTTTGTACTAGATCAGACTTAAGCTGGTTTTATAATGCTAGCTCATTGGGATACCATGCCGCAGTAAAGCATGAATACCCCACTCAGACATAATATGCTGACTCCGAGCTGACCAGTCCTTGATGTACCCATTAATGCCAAACGCCAGGCAGGGACCAACAAGTACTACATTTTAACATCTTTTGGTATGACATGATTGGGGATTGAACCTGTGACCTTCTGCTTTCTGGGTGGACGCTCTAACCACTACACCACGGAGGCCGTCGTTGATGAAATGAGCAATCATCCATGCAACTGGGGCATAATGACCAACAGCCTTGTTGCATGTTGTAAATACTGAACAAACTTTATGAACAACAACTTCTTGTATTACGTGAGTGTGGTGTTTCGATACAGGTTGTCAACAGAATGATTCCTGCTTGACACCAGTACAAGAATCTGTATCGAAAAGTTGCACTCAGGAAATAAAAGAAGTTGTCATCCATAAAGTTAGGTCAATATTGTTCATCCCAACTTCTAAAATGCCACTCAAAGAAGCATGCTGTAAATGTAACAAGCTGATGTTCAGTAGTCGCACCTTCCATGAACTGAACAAAACCTCAGCCATGACTGACCTTGTTTGCCTTCCAATCAGCACAGGGGATCAGCTGCATAGGTGGTGAGTAATTTAGGTCTTACGCTGCTCTAGCATGTGAATATATGCTATTTCGGCACTACCACAGTGGAACACAAGACATAAGCTTCACACATTGTACCCATGTGGGGAATTGAACCCATGCCTTTGGCATTATGAGTGAGCACTTAAACTACAAGGCTACTCCACTAAGAACCAGGACTCGGACATTAATTATATCGATTGAAAGGGGTTATCTATCATGCACATAAACCATTAAGTAGAAGAATGGTTTTCAAAGGGTATAAACAGAATTCTCTCATTTAACAATATGATATTTCCACAAATTTCATTACCACAAATTTGCTTACATTAATTCTTAATAATTACAAAGGATATCTTTGGTAGAACCATGTCCCTCTGCCAGTGCCTTTCAATCATAAGCATAAGCAAAACTGAGATACCAGAACCAATAATTCTAATATTTAAATTTATCAAATGAAAATGAAGACTCAAAACACCTACTTATGAGATCAACTTTTGGTTCATCAAGAACCTCTACAATAGCGTCAACAACTACAGGTACAGGGTCATCCTCTGACAGAACGACATTCGGCCGAGGTCTTGGCTCTTGATAGTTTGTCTTGTATTTCCCTGAGTTTGCACCAAGGCGGTCCTTCACCGACCCCTTGGATTTGTGTCTATGTTCACGCATCAACTTCGCCCCTACCCTATCAAGGTCAGACCGTTCACCAATTCTATCTTTCACTGGACGTTTTCGCTTCCTCTTCTTTCTCTCTTTGTTTTTGGCCTCTGTATCAGGCTCCAAATCTACGACCCCACCAAACAGTTCATCATCTGACCTATCCATTTCATCTTCCTCCGCTTGGGGAAAAGGTCTTACATCTTCCCGAGCTTTTTTGTAGTTATAACTCTCTACACTACGGTCCTGAGTGTCAAGGTCATCTTCAGAATCTTCTTTGTCGACACCAAAACTGACCATGTTCTGTGTGAGAGACTGCTCCTGCAGCACAGAACCCCAGATGTTGTTTGTCTTCTTCTTGGGGGGCGACTGAAGAACCGGCGACGCTCTGTGTCTGTCCCGCAAGGGATTGATGAACTGGGGGGACTGACTTCTGGATGTTGCATCAATCCCCTCCATTTTGAGCCTATTGAGGTATTTGGTTCGCTTGCAGTTCCACAAAGGGGAGTCTTCATCACTGGTGTCAATTGAGTCATCAGAGCTGTTACCGTTCCTTGTGGAACTACGGTGTCCAAAGGAATCTGCTGGTGTTGGTGAATCTCTGTGCCGTGAGAAGCTGAAGCCCTGTGGTTTGGTTTGGTTGAGATTTGATGGCACTGATGAGGATTGACCAAAACTGTACACTCGCTGAAACACATAAAATCAAAATCATCAAGTCAGAATGTCATCATATTGGATGTCCACAGAGGAAATTATTATCATGAACATCAAGATTAAGCCTTCAGTTCTTCATAATTTGGTTGACAGAATACTGACTCCTGAATAAGAAATGGATAATGTGCACATGATTTATTCATAAAATGATGTATTGCAAACACCACCTAAATACGAAAAATATGTGGCACAGTTTTGGATTGTTCATTAACATGCTGAAAAGCACTATCACTCTATTCCAGGGCTCCAGATAAGGGCCGTATCGGCGTATGTACAGATAAAAATATGCACGATACGGTAGGAAATAATTTGGAAAAACGAAGCAGATACGTAATTTAGGCGACAATGGTCCTAGAATCATTTACAGACGCATTTATCTGAAAAGTATTGTTTTATTGTTTATTGACCTGTTTACACAAGACCTGCTATTCTCAGTATGAGGAAATGAAGCAATACAAATTCTGTATTTCAAAACGCGTACTTATAAAGTTAAAACAGAAGTTTCAAAAGTCATATACACATAGCATCTATCTCATTCAAATTGGATCACTGTCACAGTTAAACAAATACCTGAAGATACACCACTTCTGAGACATGTCAGAATAACCTTTCATCCAACCATGCTTACCAGATTTGGAAAGTTACTGTTTTCTAACATCGTCAACTTGGAGATGTCTACTAACAACAACTCTCACTGGATAATAAGCTTGGTGTCAACCAATCATGTTTCGCCTTATTTCAGTGTCTCAAAACTGCTCAAGTTGGAGTCAAAATTACGTTCTGTTTGTGTGGAAATAATTTAAATAGGTATATTCAAATATCGAATCGAAATATAATGATAATGGTTATTGTCAGATTCGAAAACTAAGGTGTCAGATTTGATTATTTGCTGACAATGAGGATATAGGCAATCTGACTGACTGAGCTCAACACCCCTTCCAGTCTCAGATACAGCATTATTTTAACACATTGACAATGAGGATATTGGCAACAGACTTTAAACTAGTATCCAGACTGAGATCAATAATATTAATGGCATATGAAAATGGCATGAAAATGTTGCAAATTGTAAATGTCAACACTTTACTCTGACATGCTTTATTGTGGAGAATAAGATTTACTGTTCATAAACACCCAAAGGGGAAGGGTGTCAAAAACATGCACACAAATAGTTACACTGGAAAGGTATATAAGCTATCGATATAAACTGTAACTGAAATATCTCTATATTAAGGCCTAGAGAGCAGATGCATATTTTCGTTGTTCAAATATTATGGTAATGTGTAGACGATATAACAATAAATGTAGTTCAGAGCAAACAGCAAAGAACACAACGGAGAGTGACTTGAGGTAATTAATTTATAGCTACCATTCTTTATCAATACTGATGCAAACTTTGAGCAAACAGAAGTCCCTAAGATGCTGTAAAGATCAAATGAATATTCATCCCTGGTCTAATGGAAGTTTAGAAGCATTGGTTTTCAACATGATCAAGACATGCAGAGTGGATGATAAGGTCGGGAGTCCTGGCTAGCAAACAGTTATTGCCACGTAACAGTTATCGCCAATACATCAGTATCACATGTGCGCAGTTCCAGTCAGCTACAATTCCGGTATTTTTCCCCCACCGTATTTGACAACAATAAAGAACATCAAAAGAAAATTCTTCACGGTAAGTAACATTAGAGAAAACTTAAAGATAAAGTAATGAACCCAACAGGGATTTACCTTGAGTCCTGTATTTGAGGGTCCCTGGGACTCATACTCTTAATTTTCAGGGGTCCTGGACAACAAAATGGGGGTCCCAGACACTTCAATATTATTATTAATACATGTACTGATATTGTATTGTGTATCATGATCATCATATTGTTACAGCAATTAAATTGCAAATAATACCATAACCCAGCTAGTAACAGACTCAGTGATAACTTATTGTCACTTGATTGGAATTTTTACAAAAACTATTTTGACTTTTTCAGAGTCCCTCTGGACGCTCTAATAAATTTTGTTGCGTCCATTGTCAATTTTTATGCATATAGGATGAAGGAATTCGTGTCCTGTAAATCCCTGACCCTATAACAAAATTTTAACTTAGATGGGGGCATGTCCCACGACCTTATAATAGCAAATTCAAGTTCAAAAGTCATTAATTGTTTCATTCCTTATCAATCTCAAATAAACACTCAAATAGTCACACAATCAATTTTTCGTGGTTACTGAATGATATTAATATAAATATATATATTATTTCACGAATGGCATGAGAAATTCTAAATGGTGATAACTGTTACAATTAGTTGAGAAAACAGCTATTAATACTGCCATGATTCCTTTCCGCCACGTTATATAAAAACATGATCAGCGGCAGTGAACGGGCTGGACACATGGGTGAATAGCTAATTAAGTAGCATGATCAATTTGTTTCATTAATTTAACAAACAGAGGAGTAATTTTGTAAATACCGCTAAATATGGCGATAACTGTTCGGTAGCCTGTACCATGATATTACAGGGATAGAAATACTTTTTTTTCTAAGTGTGCCTTAGGGCACCAGACAAATATTATAGGTGTGCCTTTCAGAAATTGAGTATGCCCACATGTTTTAGAATAAATGACAATGATGATGATCATTTGAAATTTATTGTTAAATAAAGAAATGGGTTAATGAGCATTCCAAGTATGTATGGTATTATTCAATTTGGAAAAAATAATTGTTTTGGGAATTAAATGACTAAATGTGAGTTATGTCTCTGAAAAATCAGGCGTGTCAAAAGGGCACCGAGAACATTTTTAGCCATGCCATTTCAATATTTACCTTGCCATGGCACACTAATATATGGGGTATTTCGAACCCTGTATTACCTGGGCCCACTTGCACAGAACAATCTTAGTTACAATCAATCTTAGGCCCCTACAATCAACGTAACAATCAACACACAATTGCCCTAATCCACTTGCACAAAGCTGATCTTAGAGCGATTGTAAGACGGCATGGATTTAAGATCGCGATCTTAGCTAAGATCGAAGTCTTCAACGGTGGAGGTGGGAATGTCTTGAACTCAACTCCTGTCTACAGTTGACTGCAAATGTGCATAGCATGCAGCGCAAGTAAAGAGTGGAACTGGTTACTGCATACAACACATACCTCCCTCAATGACACCTTGCAGAATTTTCATGAAAAAAAATCCCACAAAACTTTGAAGGAAACGATTAAGTGAAGATAACACACATTTTTCTACATTCTAAATGTCTTGATTTATGAACAAAAAATGTGACATTGCAAATCCAGAAATACCTACCCATGATTTTTGAAAAAATTGAAATACGAAAAAATACAGTAATAAATTTGTTTCTAAATTTAGTGACTTAATAATTATATAAATTAAAACATAAAATATAAACAAAATTTCCTTATGATATAGCACCTAAATGTGTGGTTTGCCAGTGGTTGCCAATGAGACATTGTTTAATACGCATCTGTATGGGGGATTTGGTGTAAAACCCCAAATATATCCCACAAGTATTAATTTTGTAAAGATATGAAAAGGTGACATGACAACGGGAGTGTTGTGGAAAATGCAAGACAGGGAAATATGAATAATAAATATTTCATTCATGTAGTATGTGTTGTTAAATACTTATTCAAAGTATGTTAATTATTTAACCCTGTTTCATTGATAATTATTTTTTGTTATTGTGAAATTCCTTTTTACACAAATTTCAAATGCGTTAGCAAGTGTATTTTCCTGTTTGATGAATACTTGTATTATATCTAAAATGCACATATCAAAAACCCACGTCTCTCGTCAGACTCAATTTTATATTTAAGAATGAGAAAGAAACTTGATTTTGCACGTTATTTAATTGTAGATTATCTTAATTATAAACTAAGACAAATTCAAAGACACAAATGTGACCGGAAAAAAATATATGTGGAGATCTGCGATGTCACAACATTAAATGCATTGGACATGGCAGAGTCTACAGCAGCGCCATAACCTACCAAGGGAAACCACTCCCATCTTGCATAAACTCTAAGATTAGCTGCCCTTGAGTTATTGAAAAGGTCACGGCCACTGCTAATCGCATGCAGACACCTTTCGTTACTATCCTTTCCTTGATTATCAAAAAAGGTATGTTGTTTCACACTTCTTCCAACACTGAACCGGGTGGGAATAGTACTTTATGATATCGACTTGATATTATGTAATTCACTACCGCAAATAACAATGTATCCGACGTTAAATCAGTTGTGCATTCTCCATGTTGTTGAAGTGTCGAGAGGAACCATACAGTTTTATGCAGTATAAAAGCAATCTCCAAATGTAAAGCTGAATATTTGCATGTAACAGACACTAATTTGAACGCCATTTTGTCACAGACTACAATGATCGTAGCTCCTTACAATTGGTCCGGACCAATTGTAAGTTTCGATTGTAACTTACAATGATCTTAACCTACAATTGCTTTGTGCAAGTGAATGGCGATTGTAGCCGATGCCTAAGATCGCGATCTTAAGGATTTACAATAATTATAGTGCTAAGATCATTTTGTGCAAGTGGGCCCCTGATCTCTACATTTGGCCAAGGAGTATACAGAGAATACTACACGAGGTCTCATTACATATGAATGATACGAAACGAGTGTCCTTGCTGTGGTATCTGACTGAGCGAAAGCGAGGTCAGAAACCATAGGAAGGTCAATGAGTTTAGTTATAATAATTGTATGTTATGAGACCGAGTGTGGTATTTTATTTATTACCCACGTCTTACATGCATTGAATTGACAAAATAGCGTATTTTTGTTATTGTTATGGTGTCAAACCGAAACCGGTTTCATAAAGAGGTTGCGGAAGAGTTTTGTTCTGAAGTACACTTTTGCATGACGTCACACTGTATTGACGTCACAACGCCATTCTCGTCTGTCCCCTTGGTAACGGACGTCACGATGCATGTCAGTTGTCATCGCCTCTCGTACAGCCTCCTACAGTAAACTACTCCGTAGCACCCCGTTTCTTGGTTTGTAACTACTTCACTCGGCTCACATCACTGGTGGAAACATTGCGTTTATATTTTTCAACGGATATAATGTCTCAGTTCGACTCACAATTAAACAGCGACACGGCAACGTTCGCAATGTTTACATTCCCACAATGCATCTAAGTTGTAGAGTGAATTAATTCACGTGTTTGTTATGAATGAACAAGTAGTTCCGTCACAACATGACCTAATTGAGAGGTCATCGGTTATCCAATCAAATCGTTAGAATCTCAGGTCAAGTCGTTACAACACAGGTCAACGCGATACGGCACTCGTGTGACGTACGAGATTAGTATGCAACTACCCATACGTTGACCACATGGGTAATAAAGTCACATATCAACTTTATCTTTATGCATTACTTGGCAATATTCCGCCACATGAACAGCCTGTAATAACAGTAATAACAGCCTAAATATAACAATATTGACCAGACAAACCAGTAATTGCATTTATAAATATCTTAAATTTTTAGGTACAAGTCCACTCCAGACCACTGCTTCCATTTTTAGCATGTATACAGTAGCGACCTCAGTGCTTGGAAATACATGTATTTCTAATGCAAAATAATTGAAAATGTAAACGGGGGTTATAAATGGTGTATGATTCAAAAGTGGGTGTTAATTTAGATGTCATGTAAAATCATTCACTAAACATTTTACTTCTGATACTACCTAGAGCGTTGTTATCTCAATCACTTATTCAACTCTCAGATATGATATTAAAAGAAGAAAAAAAACAAGATAAACGTATATGGAACGTCACTCTAACATACTTGTAACTTTTTGCGAATAAATAATTAGTTCTTCAACAAACGGATGAGATTAACGTAATAATATGCCCTGGGTCAAAAGTTTGCGCTAATGCATTAGATACGAATGTAACATTGGTCTGTACAATTCTGCATTGTTTTCCTTGTCACGTGCATGTATGCGAACAACAGATGCATAAACGTAATGCAGTATTAACCAAATGAAACGTGAACACCATCACACTGGACGTAGACGATATCTTGTGTAAACCAAAAATAACAACTCACGTTATTGCCTGTGTTAGCAGGTGCAGACACTTCAGAGTCTGAATCGGCTATTTCACCTTCTTCTAAGTCCGCCATCGCACAACGATCTGTTTCCGGTCGGTTATCGGACCGTTTAGAGTTACTCCCCTTCCTACAATCGGATAACATCGACAGATCCCGTTAGCCATCGCTGACTTTGATATCGAACCACGAGTGTTGACTGTTGCTAAAAATTGTGACCAATGGATTGTTTGGTTCACACTTAATTATTGACGTGCCACAAGAGTGTAATCTTTGCCAGGACAAAAATGAGTACATTCTGTTCTCACTAGTTTGAAATTATGTCGCACTGGCACCTAATTGTCTTCAGCAGTGATATGAATTTAGAAATGTATACATGTATACCACAACAAATGAAACGATTTGGTCCCATTCGTTTGATGTTTGAAACTTAACACTGTAGAGAAGTAAAAACTATATTAAACCAGGGATACTCTACAACAGGGATAGGTCACTCGCTTGCTTTCTTTACCATTTGTAATAATTAACGTGTGCCTCGTCATGCTCCAACGCACACAGTGGCATGGTTCGTTCCCCGCGCAATTTCGGCTGCGTTTAACCATGGATACTCTACAACAGGGATAGGTCACTCGCTGGCTTTCTTTACCATTTGTACTAATTAGGGTGTGCCTCGTCATGCTCCAGCGCACACAGTCACTTGGTTCGTTCCCAGCGCAACTTCGGCTGCGTTTAACAGTACTTCAGCCAGTGTATTGTATCAGTCGGAATTTTACAATGAATGAATGAATGAATTAAGAGAAAGAATTATATGTGAATAAATGAAAGAAATAAAGAAAAAGAACAAAAGAAAGAAATACATTTGTGAATGAATGAAAGAATAAATGATACACCACGGCCATCCCTCCCCAAACATGTTAAAGAACGCAAAACTATCAGCTGTCCGTTTTTAAAATCTACTTTGAGACATTTTTACATTAGTAACTAATTCAGATATCTTATTGCATGTGTGGAATAGCATGGGCATTGACAGAATGTTAACTGACACTGTCACAGACCCCTCAAAAACAGAAAGTTTAGAACTATCACAAAGCGTTGTAAACACCTTTCCAGTTTTGCCACATACTAAGATCAACAAGAAAGAAAGAAGTTTTAGATCGAACTATAACACTCAAGCATCACAAGCATCAGTGGCGTATCAGAACAGATCGGCGATATGTCATACTTTTCACACAACTCAAATACACCCTCACAATTTTTTTAAAATTAAAAAACTATCACTATTACTTGCAAACACCTTTCACCTGATAGTATATTCCCCTCATAAAAATTAAAGGTGTAGGTGAAAGATGTTTTAGAACAATAACTAGAATACTCAAACAACACCCTGTAGTATTTCAATGGCATATCGGCGATATGTCATATTTTTCACACACCTCAAATACACCCTAACAATTTTTTAGTTATAAAACTATCACTATTATACTTGCAAACACTTTTCACCTGATGGTATATTCCCCTCATAAAAATTATTTGCTGTACAGTGTAGACAGTATGTTTTCAAATGTGAAAATCGGATAATTACTGGGAGTACTGAATTTCAAAAATAACATATTAATGATCACTGAAATCAGTTTTTCATGATATCACTTATGATAATCTGAAATGCTGCCGATGAACCTAGAATCGGTTTGGATGTTTTCGAAAATATACTCACCCGAACGTCTAAGTGCGCTTTCCGCCATATTGGATAGTGTTTACAAAATCACGCCTCGCAAAGGCCGGTATTGAGACGCCTATTACATCACGTATATTTCATAGTCAGCTGCGACAAATGCATCACTGAATTCCCCATACATTTTGAAATCAAATCACAGTTGGTATTTGTTACCAATACCAACTGTATACTGGGTGTGAAAACAAACGCTGTGCTCGGAAGACTGCGCTACTGTAATTTGAAATGTAAACAACAAAATATTCCGATTTATACTGCGTAGCAGCCGGCTATTCATTGCTTGCAATGGCTCAATACCTTTAGAATATGTATGGAAAGAGTATCATAGCAAGAAAGAGGAAATTAAAAATAGATACAATGCAATGATTTGATACTTCATAAGAAATTGTCAAAGTTTCCGTACAGCGTGACGCCATAACAGACGCAAAATCACGCAGAACGACAACGGTAATTATCAGCATTTCTGGCTTCTTCTCTTACTTACAAAGAAAACATATAACAATACACAGACAGTCAGAGTCACTCTGATTACTTACATTTCATATTTATGTACAAACGATCCCTGAATCAAGGGAAGAGTCCTCGCAATCGTCCTATCCTTCTGATTACACTTTCAGTACTATGATGTATATTTTGCGTATCATTCAGATATTATTTTTCATGAAACCAATTTAAGTACCTACATTTAGCCTTGTTCAATATCATTTCATACGTGGATATAGGGTATACGTTTTTATTCTTTGAAAGAAATTGACACATTTAGAGTATCACACCATATTTTAAACCAGATTTTAGATCAAGCGTAGCCATAACTGCAACATTGACTTTAGGTCCTATAGTGTGCAATATTCAATACATTGGGACTAATATTCCAGTTTCATATGAACAAGTTGATGGACAGCGATTTAATATAAACCTTGTAAGTAAAACTGATAATATTAATGGAAATGATTTATACAATTTTATCTTGTAATTTTCAATGAAATTTAGTGAGAGAATCCCAAATAATTCATTTATTGATATTTTTTTACGATAAGATAACCTGTACATTGAATTAAAAACATAACATTTGCATTGTTATTCAAACTGTATTTCTATTTTGAAATACTTTGGGAATAACAAGATAAGCGGGTGCCCGTTCGGTCTCGCTTTATGCGTTGCTATGCAACGAAGTACCTCTTATACAATGTACGACATCCGGGTTAGGTTTGGTCTTCAGCAACTCATGCTTGTCGCAAAAGGGGGCTAATGGGATCGGGTGGTCAGGCTCGCTGACTTGGTTGATGTCATTGCATCCCAAGTGCGTTGATTGATGCTCATGCTGTTGATCACTGGATTGTCTGGTCCAGACTAGATTTTTACAGACCACCGCCATATAGCTGGAATATTGCTAAGTGGGGCGTTAACAACAAACAAACCGATAAATCATTTGGCACCAAATGGTGTGAGTTTACATCTGATAATTATTGAGTCGCAAGGACATGAAGCACTCGTACAATTTCAAGCATTCTGCTCGTATTATGTCGAATCCGATTTAAATGAGATCTCAGTCCTCGCTACTTCAAAACAAAAATCTAAGGACGTCCCACAGGGGATTCGAATCACTGTTTAAACGAAAAAGGTGAAGAAATAAAGATTTTAGAAAATTCTACTGCTACACTCATTACATGAAATAATTTCGATTTTGTTCAAATTTGAGATATATGTTAATCATAAAATATGTTTACAATATATGATTGCAAAAGTCTAGATTTTTATTTTTAAATTTTTTGCCCAAACAGTGATTCGAGCCCCTGTGGGATGTTCTAATACAGGCAACGTAAGAACACACCTTTCATTCGACCAATCAGAGCATCGCTTACGAGATCGAGAAAGTAACAGTCGGAATACCTTATCTAATCATGCGGCCTTAAAATGTCTATGGTGATGAAGTCTGTTGTTTGCTGCTGCTGCTCACACGTTCTTCACATGGATTTTACTCAGTAAATACATGTAATATATATTTTACAATGATTGAGTTATGCTTGGTACTAAGACACGAAATTATCCATGTCGATAATGCGATCATCAAGTTCTGATGTCTTCACTTGTGACATTATTGTTATAGTACATACATCGCCATGGTAAATAGACTATAATACAGTTTGATTCGAAAGGGGAACGACGCCCTCAGGATGTCAATGATCTGGCTGTTTCGTTAGTCAAGAATCTAACACTTACAAGTTTGGCATAAATGAATACGAACAGGAACGTATTTCTACAGATTAACTTCGAGGTATACATAGTAAATGTATAGATAGATGAGCAACAAAAATAACCCCAAACAACTCCAAATAACAGAAAACCGACATAAAAACATAAGATAGTTTCGCCAATGGTGTGGAATGTGTTTTAACAATTAACCGCACTTTTCAAATTGTATCGTACAAGTGTATCATTTTGGTATTGTCAAGATACTATATCGTTAGACTCTATAGGTCGGTAAACTGAGTGGGATCCGTTGATACACAAAAACAAGAATGGGCGTCTTTAGTTGGAACACATTAATAATGATACATCGTCATAATAACAAAACAAGTTTGACACTGGAAGGTGACATTTTATGACGCGGCATTCGTCATGCTTAACTCCGACGTGTTTGGAACACACCATGTCTGGCAGAAGCTAACCATGACTCGTGCTTGTGTTGTGTTGGGACACTCATACACAACAAACGTGATACCATGGAGTGAGTGAGATTGACGCCGGTTTTAGCAATATTCTAGCAATATCACGGCGGCGGACACCAGAAATTGGCTTCATACATTGTACCCATGTGGGGACTCGAACGTGACGGCGTGACGAGCGAACGCTTTAACCACTAGGCTGCCCCGCCGCCCCGATACCTTGGACGTACGACAACCACTGTATCATGTTTTCGTGTATCACGTATCATCTCCACATTCACAACACTAGGCTACCCCACGGCCCCCAATTTGAGTTTACGGTCGTGCTACGGTCGTGGTTGATATGTGTGCGGGAGGCATATGGCATAGATGCATATGTCATGTGTAATGTACGCTGACTGACTGACTGAGTTTAGTTTTACGCCGCTTTTAGCAATATTCCAGCAATATCACGGCGGGGGACACCAGAAATGGGCTTAACACATTGTGCCCATGTGGGGAATCGAACCCGTGTCTTCGGCGTGACGAGCCAACGCTTTAACCACTAGGCTACACCACCGCCCCTTATGTACGCATTGTATCAGGCGGTGTAAGAGTGTGACATAAATACATTGATAATATTGACATTTTTTGTACCTTGAGTGGAGCGGTGTGGTAGCCTAGTGGTTAAAGCGTTCGCTCGTCACGCCGAAGAGCCGGG